TCACAACTATCTGCTGTTTCCATGCATTTCCGGTGAGATATTAATAGCATTCAGAGGATGAGTTCTTCTGAGTTTGGTAATCCTCTGACTTTTCGTCCTGTCACCATGAGGATGACATTTTTGGTTTTAATTAAAACGTCTTGACATTCAAACGACTCTCACGATGAATCCCCTGACACACCTTCATCTGGCACAGGCTGCAGAACAGACTTTAATTTTCCTAATACTTTGGTTTGAGGCCAATTGCCCACACATGCCAGCTGATATTGGCATCCTGGCTTAATGAAGAAAATACGTTTGTGACAACTGATAAATGACTTCAATACTTAATGTTTTAGCACAAACTGAAACATAAGGAGTGCTTCGAATAAAAAACAAGTAAGTAGCTTAATTAAAGCATTAACAGGAAAATAATTCTGACAACATAATAAAAACATTATAGACAGTAGTATGAAATCTCCATTTCTCCAAATTTATGCGCAAATGAATGCTGCAAGGTGCTTTAAAATAAAAACACGATGAGGCCGTGCTCACCTTCTGCTATTTAACCCTGCAGACTGAACACTCTGACACTCTCAGCATGTCAGCTAGAGAGACGAGAATCTGATAAAGCAAATCCCTGCTAGAGCGTGAGGGCCAGTATCTCTATGGTTACATACCTCAGTTTAATTACATTACCCCAGGCACTGCCATAGCAACTGTGCCAACTGCTGGGTCTGCCAGGGAACTGCAGAGGCAGCCGGGTGACATGGTGATGACACCTGTTTATGCTGATTATCTCAGTTCAGGCTGTTTTTGTTGTGCCAATACCTGAGTCGATTATTAAGCACCAGACGATACTTGAATCATCTTCTCCGGGGAATAATAATAACTGTAGATACTGACACAGATTAGTGATTAAATGTGCTTAAGAAGTTCATTATTAGTGTGTAACATACAGTGTTGGGAAGGTTACTTTTGAAATGTATTCCATTACAGAATACAGAATACATGCCCCAAAATGTATTCTGTAACGTATAACGTACTCTCTTCTTGGCTGCAGTGGTTATTATTATATTTACATGCTTCCAGCTCCCGTTTTTGCTCGATGACAGCTCGTACTTTTCCTTTTTCTCCCTCCCTCGCTCACAGACACATAACGGGTATGGCAGTCCATTCTCCCTGCAGCACGGACTACACTGCCTATGATGCTACATTCTTTAGAGCTATACCTGTAGCATTAGCTTAGCACAACAACAACAAAAAGGCCTCTCTCACCCAGGAAACACGCAGAGAGAGAGCGTCACCCTGTAACCATGGCAACCGTAACGCTGCCACCTGGAACAACAGAACAAACAAAACCCAAACAGTCCTGACCCGCCACAATATGAAACAGGGAAGTACCGCCGTGTAATCCATTTATTTCAACACCGTAACTGTATTCTAAATACCACCTTTTTAAACGGTAACTGTAACGGAATACAGTTACTCATATTTTGTATTTTAAATACGTAACGGCGGTACATGTATTCCGTTACTCCCCAACACTGGTAACATATACTGGCATAAATCAGCAGTATTTTTGAGCACCACATGGACATTTACTGTTTAGGTGACCTTAAACAAAAGAGAACACAGAGGGAAATCATTACTATATAACTGTTGATGGAGGCCCGATTTTTGTCTTTTTCTTTAAATAAACAATAGCAACCATGATCTGTTTAAAAACAGAGGCAAAATTAGAGGATAAAAAATTTGTGCTCTGCTTTGTCCTGTAAGAGCTGACAGGGGAGTAAATGGCAGCATGAGCTGTACCTGTGTGTTCACCTATAAAAGCTCCCTTCTTTCTGCAGTCACTCTCTGGTGTGATCTCAGTGTGATCCTTGGGTTTGTCTGCCATTCATCCATACATAGTCTACACTACACGACTGACCCGCAGACAAGCGTGTCTAAACCAAGTTACCAGCTCACCTTGTCTCCTGTTCTTTGTCATAGTCCGTTAACTGGATTGTGACAAAGAGAATATAAAAGTTGTCTTATATGTAAGACTAATAATGAAAATATGCTTTATAATTTGAAAAAATTGCACTGCCATTTACTTAAATATATTGCTTCTTCTTTTCACAACTTTGTTAACCATGTCAAAAAACTTAGGTATATATAAATTAAGTATTATATATATGGATTTTTTATTGCACATATCTCTCCCTCTTCATCAGGGATGCATTATCTCCTACTTCTAATATGAATAGTAAGAAGTGCTGGTATGGTGCACTAGTAGTAAATCATTCATATATAAAGATGCACAATCACTAATCAATGAACTTAATTAGAAAGAGCTATGATGTTTGATGATATTGACTGGTTGCTTTTTACTTTCCTTGTTTTCAGTCCAACAGACAGAGTTCCAGTGAGGATCTTCATATTAAACATGACAAAACAAATAATCAAATAAGCTCTGTGAGAAAAAAAAACGGGGAAAAAACTAATTCAGACTGCGATAAAGATTCAGTGTCAATCAGGCTTTTTTAAAATTCTTGACGACCTGGATTTTGTCACTGAGAGGACAGAAGCCCAAAAGCAAGCAAAATAAGTTGTTTTAAAAGAAAGAGGACGAGAGCTTAACTCATAAGGAGGATAAACTGAGAAATCTCACTAAAGTCAAAGTATGAGACAAATACTGATTATTTTCAACTGTGAATGATGCAAAACTACTTTTGTAGGGTTCAAGAATAAAAGCAGAGCTGGAGATGAATAGAGCAGGTCGTTCTTTATGTGGACAAATATAAAAAAGCATTAAACCAAAACACTTTACATGGTTGTCTTTTTACTTACTTTTTAAAAAAAAATTTGTTAATGGACTGGTATTCGTATAATGCTTTTCTGTCCTACTGGCTGAAAATGGCCAATGATGTGTGGAATAAAGTGAAGACATGTGAGAGATGCACCAAACGGAAAGCCTTACCTGAAGATATTGAACAAGATATTGCAGTTTTTGGTCTCATCATTCACACCATCTAGGCTCCATAAAGAACTATTTCTTCTGCGCGTCAGTCAGTAAACGCATCCATTGCAATAAAACTAGTCCTTAAATAACTTTGCGTTACACACTCAAAGTGCTTTTTACAAAAAGCCTCTTTCACCAAATCACACACACATTCATATAAGCTATATTTCTATACCTAAGCACTTTGTATAATATTCACACAGTGGACTTGGGGTGTAGCATCTTGTCCAAGGCTACTTCGACATGTAAGCTGGAATAGCTGGGAAATCAATCCTTCAACCTTCTGATTGGTAGACGGCCCATTCTACTTCCTGAGCCATAGTGGGAGGGAAGGAGGTGACTTAGAGAAGCCAGACTACTGGGGCTATAAGAAACTTACAAAAACTTTGCAAATACATATTTTACTCTATTTAAAAGCTGCATCGTGGCTGAGATTACATTAAACTGAAATCTCTTTTTATCTCTATTTTATTCAGTATATTAGAAATTGGTTGGCAGAACATCCAACAGCTTCTGTGAGCCCCAGTTTGGTCTGCAAGCCTTAAGTTAACATGGTTAAGATGTTTGGCTGATACAGTAAACTACATAAACATGAACTTCTTATTCATAATCTCTCACAAAACACTACCACAGGCTACAACAGCTTGACTTTTTAACTACCAAGCAAAAATATTACCCTAATAAAGATATGAGATTGAAAAGAAACTCTTCAGTTCCTTGTTAATTAAAGCATATTTAGTCAGACCAACATAACTGCAGACAGGGAACAGAATATGAATCGTCATTAGCTGTCTGGACCTTCTCCTCCCAGCACTCATACTGTGATTGCAATCTAATACCATCATCCATTTAAACATCCTCATTAAGTGTTAACTGCATTTTTATATCAACTCTTTCTTCGCTAAGAGGCCACATGGCTTCGCTCCAGTCTTACCGATGGTCTGGAAATGGTCGAGCGGGTATGTAACGCAGATGAAGTTTTGCCCATTATTCTCCCCGCTGCTGGGGTAATAATACTCCCCTGCCTGTTGAACAGGAGGAAACTGAGGGGTGCTGTGGACCAACCAGAAACCCTGATTTTTATCCAGCAGCACAACACCTGAGGAGCAGAGATATTAAAATATTAAGCAAAATACATCAAACGTTTTCCCTGAAGATGGTTAACGTGGACATTCAAGTGAAAACAAAACATATTTATCGATGCTCATTTGTTTTTACGCATCAGAGGAAATGTAAGTAATGCGCGTTAATCTGCACTTCTTTTTTAATAAGTAGAATTAGAACATATAAATGATGAAAGAAGAACGTGAGGTTGATAATGAGATGTTTCAACATGTTTTTATTACTATAACAAATCTTTGCCAGACTTTTTGTTTTTGCCCTTGTTGCAGCGTTTTTAAATCTTCCTAGTATCAAATTTATAATGAACACACTGTATACTTTTCATGTAAGTAAAAAGAGGAGCTTGAACATGCGATAGGTTGTCTTTATGCTTTTTTATTTAACGTTGATTTAAAAAATGTTGCTTTTTCCATCCATTCGCTCTTTATTCACGACCAGGTCGTGGACAGGGGCATCATTATGACCCCCCCCCAATAATCAGATCCAACCAATATAACCCCCCCAATAAAATTATGAATTATCTTGCATAAATAAGCTGTTGATTTTCTTTCGTTTCAGGCATTACCAGCAAAACAGTTGCATGTTTAATCATCTGGGAATTTG